GCCCCCCGCCGGGCTGGGGGTCGCTGCCTCCTCCTGGCTCCCTGGGTGCCCTTGCGGCCCAGCACCGTCAGGGCGGGTGTGCTGGGACGTGGCACCGGGACGGGGGGACCAGGGTGGGGACTGGCATAAGGGGGGACCAGGGTGGGGAGCAGGAAGTGGAGCTGGGATGGGGATACGGACACAGAGGCAGATGGGGGACTGGGATAGGGAGCAGGACAAGGAACGGGGATGGGGACTAGGATGGAGACTAGGATATGGAGTTGGGTTGGGGGCTGGAACAGGGAAGTTGGGATGGGGACCAGGACAAGGAGCTGGGACAGGGATGGGGACATGGAGCCAGCATGGGGGACCAGGAGAGAGACCAGGGCGAGAAGCTGGGATAGGGATGGGGACACGGAGCCAGCATGGGGGACCAGGAGAGAGACCAGGGCGAGAAGCTGGGATAGGGATGGGGACACGGAGCCAGCATGGGGGACCAGGAGAGAGACCAGGGCGAGAAGCTGGGATAGGGATGGGGACACGGAGCCAGCATGGGGGACCAGGAGAGAGACCAGGGCGAGAAGCTGGGATAGGGATGGGGACACGGAGCCAGCATGGGGGACCAGGAGAGAGACCAGGGCGAGAAGCTGGGATAGGGATGGGGACACGGAGCCAGCATGGGGGACCAGGAGAGAGACCAGGGCGAGAAGCTGGGATAGGGATGGGGACACGGAGCCAGCATGGGGGACCAGGAGAGAGACCAGGGCGAGAAGCTGGGATAGGGATGGGGACACGGAGCCAGCATGGGGGACCAGGAGAGAGACCAGGGCGAGAAGCTGGGATAGGGATGGGGACACGGAGCCAGCATGGGGGACCAGGAGAGAGACCAGGGCGAGAAGCTGGGATAGGGATGGGGACACGGAGCCAGCATGGGGGACCAGGAGAGAGACCAGGGCGAGAAGCTGGGATAGGGATGGGGACACGGAGCCAGCATGGGGGACCAGGAGAGAGACCAGGGCGAGAAGCTGGGATAGGGATGGGGACACGGAGCCAGCATGGGGGACCAGGAGAGAGACCAGGGCGAGAAGCTGGGATAGGGATGGGGACACGGAGCCAGCATGGGGGACCAGGAGAGAGACCAGGGCGAGAAGCTGGGATAGGGATGGGGACACGGAGCCAGCATGGGGGACCAGGAGAGAGACCAGGGCGAGAAGCTGGGATAGGGATGGGGACACGGAGCCAGCATGGGGGACCAGGAGAGAGACCAGGGCGAGAAGCTGGGATAGGGATGGGGACACGGAGCCAGCATGGGGGACCAGGAGAGAGACCAGGGCGAGAAGCTGGGATAGGGATGGGGACACGGAGCCAGCATGGGGGACCAGGAGAGAGACCAGGGCGAGAAGCTGGGATAGGGATGGGGACACGGAGCCAGCATGGGGGACCAGGAGAGAGACCAGGGCGAGAAGCTGGGATAGGGATGGGGACACGGAGCCAGCATGGGGGACCAGGAGAGAGACCAGGGCGAGAAGCTGGGATAGGGATGGGGACACGGAGCCAGCATGGGGGACCAGGAGAGAGACCAGGGCGAGAAGCTGGGATAGGGATGGGGACACGGAGCCAGCATGGGGGACCAGGAGAGAGACCAGGGCGAGAAGCTGGGATAGGGATGGGGACACGGAGCCAGCATGGGGGACCAGGAGAGAGACCAGGGCGAGAAGCTGGGATAGGGATGGGGACACGGAGCCAGCATGGGGGACCAGGAGAGAGACCCGCATCTGCCTCCCCCGCCAGCGCTTCCCCTCCCCTCGCTCCAACGCGTCCTGCCACCCCGCGGCACTGCGGACCACCGGCAGAGCAGGAGAAACCCTCCGGAGCGCGGGAGCCACGCTGCTACTGCAGCAACAGCCAAGGCCTTTTAGCAGGCCTCGGAGCCCAACACCACCACGACCCAGGTGCAGGAGCCTCCCGTGCCGATTATGGCGCAGAGCTCCCGGGCCAGCTCCGGGGCTCGGCCACCTCTGCCCGAGGCGCCAGCACGGTTCACAACCGGTGCCGGCTCCGCTGAGCCTACCCACAAGCGCATCGCCTGTGCTACGCGCTGCCCCCATCGAAATGGCCCAGTCTGCCCAGTGCATTTACTTCTGTTTATGCCTTATACGTGACCAAACTCTCAAGTATCCCATTTAAGCCTATAAAGCACAGTGCAGAAGTAGACAACAGCAGCAGAGCAGATGTTAGCAGGTATGTTCTCCAAATTCAACAGGAACAAACTGATGGGCCATGGGAAAAATGATACTTCTGGACTGTCTATCCAACCCTGGGAGAAGGGGACGGTCTCAAACTCTCATACTTCCAGGCCAAGCTTAACACAAGAGCAGGAAGGTAATCACTATGTTTATGTTGGCTGCTTGCTTTTCAGGAGGGCTACAATGAAACCTGTTCGTACTAAACATTTGCACTACTGGGTAAAGCAGATCTCGTCACACTTTCCCACCGCTCTGAAAGAAATTGGCTGTCGGAAGCAAAAACCTGCTCTTGGAGGCAACCTTCTCAATCTGAATCCTCACAACTTCTCTTTTGCTGGAGCCCAGCACTTGAGAGGCGCCTGCACATGCTCCTTCCCTTCAGGAGTGCTCTTCAGTCTCACAGAGAGTCTGTTCTACACACAGAGTAATTTTCTTCCTTCTTGCCTTTACAGAGTTTGGCCTGAAGTGTCTTTACGTACAAGGCTCCACAGCCTGGCAGCTGCCCAAAACCAACCACTGCTTTTGCTGTTTGCTACCATCTGGTGTAGAAAGGCAGCTGTCTTAGATTTTAGCACTTTAATGATGATGTAAGACACCCAAGAGCATCAGAACAAACTCAACAGCAAGAATATCTCCCACCTTCTGGAGCCTCTGCCACCATCATCAACCCACCAAGCTTAAGAAATGCCGCTAGAGGAAGTGGGGCTGGTTCTCCTGCAAGGGGAAGAGCCCCAGGGGGCTGTGCCAAGCTCAGGTGAGACAGGTCTGACAATTAGTGGGTCATTAGTGGACTCAGCTCAGCTGCTGAGGCCTGCTCAGATGGGAGCAGGTATCAGCATTGACGACCTGCAGAGCAGATGGGGAGCCTAGAAGTGTTCCCACTCTTGCGGGGGGCAGGAGGTACCCGACCACGGTGCAAAGAGGTCCTGCTCCCCTCCCTGGGCAGAGGGAGGTCACTACAGCAAGACCTAAGCTTTTACTAGTACTGAGCACAACCTACAGCCAAACTCAAGAGCCCTGCTCTCTTTGCCATCCTGGGCACCCCCAGGTTCACAGCATCCCTGGCAGGGAGGACAGTGGGCATAAGTCTCCACTCAAGACTAACAGAAGGTTGGTTGTCCCATGATCCAGCATCCAGAACCCAGAAAGACGAGAACGCAGCAAATCCCAAACACAGGCAAAACCGACATTGTTGAGATTGAGGATTTATTTACATGTCAAGGAACGCTCTCACTCAGAGTCACATAAGAAGGGGGAAAAAAATAAAAAAAGGATCAAGTGATTTGCCTCCTGAACAACATAAACTCTTACTCACACCAGAGCATTTGGTTACCTTAAAGGATAATCAAACACCTTCACTCCTCAACAAGGGTCTTGTGAAGAGAAACTAAAGGCATGATTTTAACAGCTATCTGTCATCGAAAACAATCTTAAAATAAAAACAGCCTTTGCAAAGAGATCTGTCAACACATGGTCAAATCATAAAGCACTCCTCGCTCCACCTCACAGGAAACTGTCCAAGGGGCAGAACAGCTAATACTCGTCCAGGGTGTCTGCCCGCGGGACTGAAAGGCCCCGCTCCTTTAGCGCCTGCACTTTCAGCTTCTCTGACTCTTGCTTGGCCTGCTGTTCCACCCGCTGCTCCTCCAGGATCTCCTCTATCGAGACCTGCTGTAAAGGTGTGTCGCTTTCTTTTTCCAGGTCCTGCAAGAGAAACAGGCCATTTAGCATCGCAAAGCAGATGCTACATCCAAGACCCGAAGCTCTGCTCGCGAGGCTTTCCTGAAACTGCTCAGCTTGCAGGGAACACTCAGGCCCAGGCCGGTTTCATCTTTGCGGAGCGCATATCGCTCACATGACGCTGGCCAGAGGCAGAACCGGTCTGAGGGGGCTAGAAGCAGCTGGGTGGACCTGGACTGCAAAGGTCCAGGGTGGAGATCTGCACTCACATCTCCACAGGGGTGCTAACACACCAACCCTACATTCTTGGACTTCTGTGACATCCGAGCGCTTCCTGCAAACAACTGGCAAGGCTCTGTGCCCCCAGGAAGGGGTGGCATTGCTGTACCAAAGATGACTGGCTTGATCTCTCTTGCCAAAGTCATTGGAGTGGGACAGTTCCTGAGGTGAGGAGCTGAGCCATGCAGCCGGACTGCGGTGGGGTCTGGGCAGCTTGTGCCCACACATCTTCCCATAGTCCAGTCAAGAGCCAGATGCGATGCAACAGGGAGGTGCTGCAGGCACCCCGAAGGTGGAAACGTGGGCAGGAAACCACATTGAGAAAAGGGCCCTAGAAACCCTGATTGAATGCAACTGGAGGAAAAACTGAAAACAGGAGTCCAAGGGAGAGGGGGATTCCTGGGGAACAGCCAAGCTGAGTGTAACCCAAGGGGGCCAAAGTGAAGAAAAAATTAGACAGTACTTGACTCCTCCTGAATGCATGTCAAACAGTGTCCTTTAGTATGCAGCAGCAGGGAGGTGACCGTTCCACAGCCAGCCACTAATGACACCCTCAAGCAATGCCACATGCAGGCCAGGGCTTTTCTAGGTCTCCTCCAGGCACGCACTCACTCACCAGTTCGTATTTTGCTCTGAGTGTCTTCTTTACCCCCAAATCATCCAAGACTACTCACAGCTGAAGGGAGAGGGGTCTCGGCTGCAACCCTTCCCACCTGATTCCCATGCACTCAGCTACACTAGGACACTTTTGGTAGGATGCACTCAGAATGAGCCCGACTGCCAGCTAGGACTAAACGATGCCTTCTATACTGCAGGAACAGTACGTGCTCAAACACTTCAGCCTCTCTCAAACACCTCAAGGCACGTTCCAAGAAGCAGCGCTGAGCGTTACATAACTCTCCCTGCACGGCCTTCTCCAGCAGGAGGGTGGCAATATTTCACAGCAGACACTGGTTCAGCCACGAGCAACAGAAAAAATCCACATGCTGTCTCTGGCTGGAGAGACCCAGCTCCGTTGGCAGTGCTGCTCGGAGTAATTGTAGCTACAGATATCACCAGCTATTTAACCCTGGACCACAACTGAGCCATTGCTCCAGGCCAGCAGTAGACAAGAGAGCCAGGCAGAAAGAGCTGCTTACTTACTATTTCCCCCAGCAGAACAACGTTCTCGCCTCTCACAACAAAGATGCCTCGAGGGATGTCCCCATACTTCTTGCCCACGTGAATGCGCTCCACAGTCTGGTGCAACACCAAGTTTGCTGCAGCGATCAAGAGAAAAAGAAAACATCCATCTTTCACTTTGTTTCTAGCTAAAGAGAACATCTCATCTGAGCCAGGCAACACACCCACAGCTGAGATGGCATGGTCACTGATAAGCACCTCCACTGCTTCTTGGCAGATCCTTTGAACCAGACCATGAAAGGAACCAGATTTCTCCCCTACTGAAACGCGGCTGCTGCACTTCAGCTTTAGCAATCGACACAGCCACCTCCAGGCAGCAGCTGAAACCCCAGTTCCTTGCGCTAGGAGCTGCAGCATGGGCAGAACAGGAGCTTGAGGGCAGGGACTCCTTCTTACGGCCTGTGCACACAGGACAGAGATGGGACAAGCAAGCTCAGAACAGGGACAAGCAGCAGCAGCAGCGTCGGAAACAGAACCAGGAAACTCAAACTGTTGATAGGGTTGCTATTCACCCAAACACCATGTGTTGACAGCATGAGAGTCAGGGCCAAGGGGAAAACGATGTTATCTTTGGTGCCGTAGATTCTGGGGCAAGGACTAAGACGTTTTATCTTAAGCACAGACATAAAACACAAAAATCCCAGGCTGTTGAGAGATACTTCTCAAATGCTGATTTCACAAGAAGAGAAGTTAGAGCATCAAATTAACATCTGACAAAATCATGAAGGAGGAAGGGAAGCAGAGGGGAGGGGAAGGGAAGGGGAGCAGAGGGGAGGGAAACAGCCACACAGCTTTTACAAGAAGTTTCAGTAAACCACCAAATCACATCTGATGTATTTGTTTAAACCGCAGTGATTGACAGAGAACAGATACTTCTCCAATTAGCAACCAAGGTTAGATGCATTATCTATAAAGCCAGAGACCTCGTAAATCTGTTTTTTGCAATAAGTTGCCTAATCTGGAAAAAAAAACCCTGCAGCTACCCTTCGCATAAACAAGAGGGGGTACATGCTCAGAAAGGATGTTTACAATGCCAGCTCCCATAGAAGAGGAACACCTAAGTGAATTTTTAAAACACAACACAAACAAGCTTTAAAGCTTGACTTTCAAATCATATCATTCTATGCACAGCAAGCACCTTTTTCATTAGAACTTAAGATTGTTTTTAGTCAAGGAAATATGTAATTCTGCTCACAACTGGCACATGCAAAAAGCATTGTCTGCCTGACCCAGACACAGCCCACGCTGCGACCAGGCTCCCAGACCGTGGGCTGATTTTACTCCTGTTTAAGTGAACAGGGAGAGCAGACCCTGAACACACAACTAATACTTGCCCTGGATCGCGCCAAGTCCAGGCTAAACTCTTCGCCTCTCCCTTGTTTCAGCCAAACACGCAAGCGTGCGGCTCCCTTGACAGCCTTCCCGATCTCACCTAGCGCCGCGCAGCCCGATTCAGAGGCCTCTGCTCTGCCACGAGGATCCTCTGGCAGGTGCCTCACCCCTGCAAAGCCCTTTCTGGTGGGGGCGAGGAGGAGGAAAAGAGTAGGGAATTTGCCAGATTTGGGCATTCGCGCAGAACCACAAACGTGCAAAAACCACTACTCTCAGGAAGAGCTGGTGCAAACGTTTCCACCTGGAGACCGGTCCCTCGAACGCTGCAAGAGGACGAGCCCAAACAGCTGCTGCAGCACGGCCGCAGGGCTGGAGACAGCGGCAGAGCTTCACTCGGGCCAGAACCAAAAAACTCCGCTTGCGTTTTCACACGGCAGCCAGCCGTATTTTCCCTGTCCTGACGCTACGCAGCGGGGGACGGGCGGAGAGGCCCCACC